ATATATATATACATATATATATATATATATATATATACATACATATATATATAACACAATACAAAAGAGCAAAAATACCGAACATAAACATTGAGGCCCATTGTTTAAATTCGATCACAAATATAACACAAAGGACAAATCTAAGAAATGAAGATCATACCTTGATGAAAACATACAATGAAGGGTCGGCATCCACAGTTAACTGACACAACAAGTTTATTACTTGTGATGACGGAATAGTACATCCATTTCCTCGACTTCTAGAAGGAATGCAGCAGGCCACCAATTTTGAAATAAGAAACTGGAAATACTTCACTAGTAAGTGATACTGGAAAATATAGGGGCATAAATCACCAATCTAACAAATAAAAACAACAACCTGAAGCTGCTCTCCTAAAACATTTATTGCTTCAGCAGTAGGTTCAGCTTTAAATACTTCAAGAAGTGCAGACAAGACGGTACAACAATGATCCTGTAGAGGCTGAATACCAACATTTTGTCCCATTATGTTGAGAATATAACTGTCAACAACGTCATCAGTATCATTAACAAAAATGCATTGAATTAAAATGAGAAAAAAATAAAAATATAAGCTGCTACACCTTTAAAAGCGAATCCATACAGAGATTAAAAAATACCAAAAATGCCATGGTTTGGATGAAACAAAATAAGTGACTTAAAGAGTAGATCTTATACCATGTATGTCAAAACTAATCAATATAGTCTCACTGCACCTCATAACATCAAAGACTACTTTATTGACGCGGGACGCAGTTTCCCACGATCCCACGGTAGCAGCTCCTGCATTCACGGTAGTTCAGCACACCGAAGGATCAAACAAATGCCTTCTTATTAATTTATTTCGTTTCATTTCTTTTATTTTCAGCAATTTTTCTTCATTTGCTTCTTTCCTTTCTAAATCTTTCCAATTTACCATCTAATCAAGTTATTCTCTCTTAAGGGGTCACTTGCATAGGTTGTACTTTGGTTTTTGGATTTTTAAGTTTTTTTTTTTTAAATGTAATTTGAGAGTTATTCTCTGATTTTCAGGCTATCCAGAGTGTCGAAGCCTCTTCCCATCACAAGTGGTGTGTCTATACTTTGCTTAGGAACAGGTGGTAGATCCCTCGCAAATCGCCGATTCACCATTTGTTTTTTGTTTTCAGCAGGATAGTCGTTGAATCCGCTCTCCCCCAGCTGTTTACAGTAGGAACCAGCCTTTTTCCGATCCTGGTTTATTGTCCTATCAACGTTCACACAGATTATCAGTGTCATTCATCATGCCACTCATAGTTTCACTCCTACAACAGCCCAAATGCATTTTTCTGTTCCACACCTTCCACTCATAGTATTATAAGATCTACACCACCCTTCAAATATACTCCAGCCATCGAAAGAGTTAAAAAGTACACCTAGTGGAGACCGAAACCAACTTGGCCAAAGAAGGAACCCATACAGTAGAGAAAAGGTGGGGACCGCTAGTACCACCAAATCCATCCTTGTTAAAAAAAGCCTCAAGTGCCACGTTTTTTGTGTATGGGCATTTGATTGCCCAAACAAGAGGGTGAGCTTTTCACCGAGCAGAGAACAGTTGAACAAATGGGCAGTGACATAAAAGATGTTGAAGCCTTCAGAGAGGAGTCTCAACTTTCAACATACGAGAATGAGACATCAGTGATTCAAGCTGAGCCCATAGGAAAATCCAGCTGAATTAACATTGATTTTTCAAGATTGCGAAGAGTCCCAGGAGCTGATACCAAAAAAGAGGCAGACCTACAACGGGAGTCGCTGGATATCTTCACCTACAATTTACCTCATGGGTGATTGCCACAAATCGTGATACAACATAAAATTAAAGTTCATTTCAGGGAATATAATGTTTACAAGAAGCGCCTAGCCGAGTACTATAAGTGGAAAACCTGATTCAAGACATGGGATGGATTTTAAGAGTGGATGGTTAAGCCCTTTAGCCTATCAAACGCCCCAAACGCTTTCATGCGGCTGATAAACCACGTTTTCGGGCCTTCATCGAAAAATTTATGATTGTGTATTTTGATGAAATCCTAGTGTACAACAGTTCAAAGGAGGAACACTTTTAGCATTAGTGACAAGTTATGGAGATACTTCGAACAAAACAATTATATTGTCATCCGAAGAAGTGTCATTTTCTTACATCACGAGCGTGTTTTTTCGGGTACATTGTTTCAAATGTCAGCAAAGGACCCAATGAAGACCAAGGCTATTGTAGCCTGGCCAAGAATGATACCGGAATTGATCAAAATCACAAAAAGAAAAGCAAATAATATTACGAAAAACAAATAGACGGTTAAATTCGAACACAAATGAAAGGAAAATTGAAATAAAAAAAGCACAATGATACGCTAAAATAAAAAAAAAACAATAAATGCGCCATAAACAAACTAGGATGGATCTAGAGATGGTGGTGGTAGTGGTGATCAAAGAGGATTCAAAAGGCAACAAGATGGTGAAAGAGCTGGTCAGCCAGTGAAAAACAGCAAGGTAGCGGTTTCATGGGTTCCGGACAGAAAAAAGGCAGCGAATAATGATGTGGAACAACTATTCTGGTTGATGGCAGCAAATGGGAAGGAGTAGTGCGCAGGTTCTGTAAGCGGCAGTGCATGGGAAGAGAAGGAACCGTGGCTAGGGAGGCTAGATGACGCTGAGCCTAAGGGAGGTTGAACCGACTGACCGGTTCAGCTAGATGAGCAAGGGTTGATCGGCACTTGGCCTGAGCTAGGTTGGCCTCCCAAAAGGAGCGGTGTTCCCCTCCTTATTTAATATTAAAAAGATGTCAATTGCTTTGTTTAAAATTAATGTTTTTTTTATTATTTTATGTTTGGCAGTTGTTAGTGTCTCGTTCTCCCTTTCTAGGTTGTGTATTCAAAGGCAAGAAGGTGCTCCGGTTGTAACTCATCACAAGATGGTGTGTATCTCCCCCTTTTCTGCTTGTCGTTGCTACACCTACACCCCTTCTCCTTACCGTCAGCTATTTCCCCGCACCACACTGCTTCAAGCAGTAAAACCTTTTGCTTTTCCAGTGTCCTGTCGACCTTCCAGCCAGCCCTCCATGCCCCTTTCCTGTCAGACCAAGCCGCACCGCCCATATGCAATCCCCTCACCCGTGGACACCCCCAACCAGACCAACCTCCCTCTGGCATTAGCCAACCACATCCCTTCTTTCCCCTCCCATGGCCACCCACAAGGACAACCTTTCCATGCTACCACACCAGTACTCCCCCTGCAATCATGCATCTCCGCTACCCTTACCGCTTTCCTACCACCATCAACAAACCCCAATAACCACCTTTCGAGCCCTTCAATCGCAACACCAACACTCCAAACTATACCCTAGTTTTGTGTTGTGTCGTTGGTTCCCTATTTGCAAGTGTTTTGTTTGCAATCCTTTTGAATTTCAAAAATAATAATCGCCTTATTATTGTGATTTGGGTTAACTCTAATATCACTAGGATAGACAAGACAGTAGTATGGTTGCAGGTAGGGCTGTCAAAAAAGCTCGTTGTTCGCGAACAGTTCGTGTTCGATTCGTTCGATAAGTAAACGAGACAAACGCGAACAAATTTTTTTCGTTCGGTTAGTTAAACGAACCAAACCGAACAGTGATGCGTTCGTTCGTGTTCGAATCTTTATTGTTTGAAATATAAAATAATATAAAATAATTATATATAAAAAATTTATTATATTTTAAAACATTAAATTTTATAAATTATAATATATAATAAAATAATAATAATAATATATTAATATACTATAGTAGTAATATACTAATATAGATATTGTATATTTATATAATATAAGTTATATAATTAATATATAATATTATTTTTATATATTAATATTAG